ACGACTGATTAATATACCTTTTTTTTTTTTTGAGAGGTTTTTGCTATAGGGCCATGCACTCGCCAGAAAGACAGAGAAAGAGAGACAGAAAGCGAGAAATCACCCCCCTCAGATGGGATGGCCATACCACAATCCTTTCTCGTCCATTCTCCTCTCGAGATCTTGGGCACGCATGCACATGCATCTGGCATGAGTTTAAGCCACTAGGTCCAGGACTTGAACCACGGTTGACTACATGGGAGTTCAACGACATAGCCATTACGCCAACTGCTGGTTCCCCCCCACCTTTTTTTTTAAATTATCAGTAGATACATGCTCATGAAACAGAAACAGAAAGACAGAGATATAGGGAAAAAGCAACCCCTAATGGGGCAAGGTCACTCTACAATCTCTTCTCCTCCACTTCTGAATCTTATTGGGAATCTAGGCACACACACTTGGTGTGTTTTCTTCAAACCACTGGGGCGAGGATTTAAACTGAGTTCAGCCATGTGGGATCCAGTTCCCTTAACCACTAGGTCACAGTGCTGGCTCTGACGGCCCAGGTCTAGGGACTTTTGATCTATAAAAATCTACATCATCTCTTTTTATCATAGAGCTGGAGGACAGCCTGGAAAATATTTAAAGATCTGTGAAAGTACTGCTTTGCGTTAACATATTTTCCAAATTGGTTGAAAGGATTTATGATGCCATGGATCTCTTTTCTCCAAAAACATTTTTGGGATTATTATAAATATGAGCATGAGTTGTTCCACAGTTTGAAGTCTTGAACATATCTCTAAGCAAAAAACCTTGGTAAGCCATGACCTTCAATGTAATAGAAGAAACTTAAATCCTATAAATGAACAACTAGTACCCATGATAAGATAAACATTCATTAGAGTACTGAACCCATGAACAGACTATGTAAAACACCTACTTAAATTGCCTTAATTGTATCATCTTCAGAAGAAAATGAGACTCAGCTTTATTATTATAATCCCTCTTACCTTTAGCAGGTATCTGAGCACATGCTCTATACCAGGTAACAGGTTCTAACACTCACAGAAGCAAAGACAGGTCCTGCTATTGGAGCATTCAGACAGACTCACAAGCAAATCATATACTAAAAGGTGGTACTAGAGAGGACGGTATATGAGTCCTAATGATCTGAGCCTAGATTTCCTTAAGGAGTCAGGAAGCCATGATGCTTGAGTTTGAATGATGAACAGCAGTGTGCCAAGTAAACATGGGTAAAAAGAAGGACATTCTAGGACCAGCAGTTAGCGTAATGGCTATGTCACTGGACGCCATGTAGTCGGCTGAGGTTTGAGTCCTGGACCCGGTGGCTTAAATTCATGCCAGGTGCTTGTGCACGCATGCCCATGATCCTGAGAATGGAATGTAGAAGGGATTGCAGCATGGCCATCCCCGCCGGGGGGGGGGGGGTGATTTCTCACTTTCTGTCTCTATCTCTATCTTTCTGGCAAGCGCACATGCCCTACAGCAAAAAAAACTCTCAGAAAAAAAAGAAAAAGGAAGAAAGACATGCTGAAGTAAAAAAAAAAAAAAAAAAAAGGAAGAAAGACATGCTGAAGTGAGGACATTGATTGTGCCAAGGCATGTATTAACCCATTAATCAAGTCAAATCTTTCTGAATGTGTATTCTGTGTTAGGCACTGTGTAGGACCTGAACATGAGAAAAACCAAAGCAAGCACAGTCTCTGCCCTCAGTGAGCTGGCCATTAAAAAGCAATATAATTTGGTAAGAGGCACAGTAGAGAAATGAAAGCAAAGAAAAAGGTCTAATCTGCACTCGGTGTTTCGAAGAGAATTTCTGGGAGAGAAAAAAAAAAAAAATTACCCTGAGATCTGAAGGTTGAACAGCATGCAGAAAGGCAAAGGGTCAGTCAAGGTAAAGACTAAGGAGTTGTTAGGGAGAGGGAACATGATGAGAGATGGTCCAGAGGTAAGAGAAAGCATTGTGCATTCAAGAAATCAAGGAATTCCAATGACCAAAGTATTGTGAGTGAGAGTGGGAGGATGTGGGGCGAAAAACTGAGTGGCAAGAAGGGCCAGACTATAATGAGTTTTTTTAAGCCATGCACATTTATAAGAACAATGGGAAACCATTGAAGGACTTCAGGCAGAGGAATGCAGATTTGCAGATTAGCGCGATCATTCTTTCTCTCTACCCTATAAGAAATAGATCACAGAAAGACAACACAGAGACCAAAAACTAATTATGTTGATCAGAAATGCAAGTTAACAAAAAAAAAAACTAGGAAATTGAACAGATTAAAGACTATACCCAGATTTATGACATGATCAGCTGGGTAGAAGGTGGAATTATTGGTTGAGTCGGGGAATGAGGTAAAGGTCCACTTGAAGGAGAAAAGTGGTCAATTCATTTTTTGGCAATTTGAGTTTAAAATATTAGCAGCTAAATCTAAAAGTCTGAATGTCTGAACAAAATATCTTAAATGGATAGTGAGCATCTTCAGTATATCTTCAGCATGTTGACATGGATCTAAGCCAGAGACAGAGAAGATCTCCCAGCAAATGTCTATAGGGAAAAAAAGAAGAGGGATGAGAAGAGAATGAAGAACTTCAAACAACTTAATAGATGTCAGAGATAAAATTTTAATTCAAGACCAGACACATAGTGAAAATAAAGTTTACAACAGTTTAGAACAGAGATCATATGTGCTTAATCTAGGGAAGAGGTAGTGAATTAAAAAGGGAATTAATCATAGGGATATCTAGGATAATTATGGAGATATTTTGGAGACACTAACAACTTGGATGACAGAGCATATGGAAGATATGAGGCCAGCGGTGGCATGCTAGATGGGGCACTGGACTCCTGCATGGCTGACCACAGTTTGAGTCACGGACCTGGTGGTTTACTTTCTCACTTTCCCTCTCTCTTCTTCTGTCTCTCTCTGTGGTGAGCACATGTGTCCTATAGCAAACAAATAATAGTATTAATAATAAATTAAATGAATAAATAGGGTTTTTTTTTTTAAATATGGAAGGAGAAAAACAGGATACTTCCAAATTTCTAGTTTGGTCTATTATGGATGGCACTGTCACATCCATTACAAAGGAATGGTTTTAGGCAGGAAGAAGGATAATTACAGACAGAGTTTTGAGAGCATAAAAATTCTTGAATGATTAAGGACATAGAAGCAGTTAAATCAAACAAGGACAGTCCAGCATCCTCCCAAAGATGCAGCTTCTCAGGTCCTGGTAGAGCTAATGATGAAACTGGGAAACTGGAGATTAGGAAGGGAATCTCCCTTGGCCCTTCTCACAGTGATTTCCATGATCCCTTTTCCATAACAGTTGGACTGTTCTAGAGGCTTCCTGCTCACCAGGTATAAATAACTAGTGCACAGTAAACAGTAAATTAGCACATTTCAGAGTGTTTACTGGGACAAAGGGTGAATCAA